ATAGGAATTTCTCTATTTCCATTGTCTTTTGCTGCTTTCTAAAAATCAAGTCTATCCCCTAAGGTTTACCACTACTGTAGATATTAACACACACACACACACACACACACACACACACAGAACCAATCTAGACAGAGTAACTGTATAGGTATGCTTACAATATTTTATTTATTTACAATAATCCTATCATATTACCTTCTGGATGCTAATATACATTTTACATAGGCAGTATATTTTCTGATTAGACTGCTGGCTTTATTTAATTTTATCTAAAAAATGTTATAGTATGTTGAGTCAAAAACAACTTTTAGTTTAACTAAATCCAACAATAAAACAGTTACTGTTGAGCTGATTTCAACTCATAGTAACCCCATGTGTATCACTGTGTATCACAGCAGAACTGTGCTCCACAGGGTTTTCAATGGATGATTTTTCAGAAGTAGATCACCAGGCCTTTCTTCTGTGGTGCCTCTAAGTAGACTCAAAACTACAACCATTCTGTTAACAGCCAAGTATGTTAATCTTTTGCACCACCAGGGACTGTCAACCAAGTATAGCAATTAGCTAAATGCCCTTGGTGTGGTGCCACCCAACGTGATAAGAGGAAATTACATTTCAAGGACTTAATGCATATTACCGCACTTATTCGGCAAAATATTTATAATATGCAAAATAGTGTATCAGATCAAAAAAGAGTGAGGGAGGCAAAGAACTCATCTTCCATTAGAACCCTTTATCACAGCACACTGGGATGTTATAACACAGATATATGCATGAATTGATCACAGAGAACAAAGAAGGGAGCAATTAACTCTCTGAGAACAATGAGGAAGATTTACAGAAGTGAGCTGGGTCATAAAGGGTAATTTAGAATTTATCAAGTGAAAGAGGTCAAAGCAGCATTCTAGGTAGAAGAATGTCTTGGACAAAGGCAAGGAGGAAGAAAAAGTAGCAAAGTTAGCTAGAAAATGAGCAGTCTGTAAGGGTAGTAGGGTCACACGGCTGATTAATGTAATTGCTGTCAATAAGCTATACACCTGTTAAAAGTTGAATTGGCAAAAGTTGTATGATAGATATATTTACAACAATGTCCATAAATAAATACATGGATGAATAAAAAGTAGCTGCTGAGACTGCTTATGTACAACCAAACACCTCATGGGATTTGGTTACTTGGTTTGGAGGTCTAGGGTTATGGTTTCATGGAATATCCCAGTTAACTGGCCTAATAACATGTTTGTGCTTTGGCTGAACCTCCTAGTTCATTGCATAGCACCTGAGGTCTTAAAAGCTTGCAAGTGACCATCCAAGGCACAAATGGTCTCTATTTGCCTGGAGCAACAGAGGAAGAAGGAGGATCAGGAATAGGAGGAGGAAATAGAATGTGTAGCTAACTGCTTCCTTTGCTATGAGACCAAAAGAACTGTATGGTGCCTGTCAACCATTACTGAACATTTTGATCAAAGATTCTATAGAAGAATCCTGATCAAAAGGGGGAAACTGCAGAAAAGAATTTAAAATTCTCATGTAATCCAGATTTTATGGAGCCATGGAGGCTAAATGAATCCCTGAAACTACTGCCCTGAGATAATCTTTAAACCTTAAACCAAAAATATCCGTTAAGTCTTCCTAAAACCAAATTAACAGTTTAGCTTAACTAGTAAAGAATGTCTGGCTTGAGCATTATACTCTTTTAAAATCTATCTATATGGCATCAAATTGACAACATTAACTCGAAAGACTAGATAGGAACATTATGGGGGGAGTGAGTTTATGTTAATGGAGAGGAACAACTCAGAAAAGGAAGTTGAGAATGGTTGCACAGTCAAAGAACGTACTCAATGTCACTGAACTGTACATGCAGAAACTGTAGAATTGGTGTATGTTTTGCTGTGTATTTTCTCAACAACAAGAAAAAAATAAATTATTAAAAAAGGTGAATAGTACGTATAACTGGAGCACCTGATAGGCTTATATGGGTAGGGAATGATGAGAAATGATGGTTAGATTGTAAACGGCCAAGGTAAGGAGTCTGGATTTTATCCTAATATTGGCTATCCAGTGAGGGTTATTTTAAAAATTAACTTTACTGAGGCATAATTTACATACAATAAAATATGCACATTTCAAATGTGTAATTTTATAAGTTAAACAATATATTATTTTCATAAATTCAGCCTATCCTATAGTCTCAAAGATTATCTATTATGTTATGTTTTAGAAGTTTAACAGTTGTAGCTTTTTTTATTTCTTCTAATTTGTCCACTTAAAGTTTTCAGTTTAATTGGATAAAGCTATTCATTGTATTCTAATTAAAAAAAAAAAAAAAGAAAAATCAAATGGTTCTGTAGTTACATTCTCTTTTTCACTCCTAATGTTATTTATTCGTGCTTTCTGTTGTTTTGCCTTGACCAATCTCGATAGGGGTTTGTTCCTTTATTCGGCAGAGAACCACTTTTTGATTTTTTTTTGGAAATTCTCTATTACTTTAGTTTCTTTTATTAATTTAATTGCAATGATTTATTATTTCCTTCCTTTTATTTTCTTTAGGATTATTCTATTCATAGTTACAGCCATAAGTGTATCATAGATATACAAACCTTATGGGAAAGTCTACTGCACTATAAGGAGCCATGGGGCACAACTGTTAAGTGCTCCGCTGCTGATTGAAAGGCTGGCAGTTTGAACCCGTCCAGTTGCTCCACTGGAGAAAGACGAGGCGATCTGCTCAAATAAAGATTACAGCCCAGGAGACCCTATCGTGCAGTTCTACTCTGTCACACGGGGTCGCTATGAGTCAGAATCGACTCAATGGCACACAACAACAACACTGCACTATAAACATGTGAAGGATTCAAGCGAACCTAGTGTTTTACCCTTATTTTCTGGGATGACACTCTGTATTTCACACTGTTAAACAGTACTCCTAAAAATGAACTTCCCTCAAAAAGAAAAATATTGTATGATCCCACTTCTATGAAATATCCAGAATAGGCAAATACATAGAGACCAAAGTTCATCAGTGGTTACCTGGGGCAGGTGGGAGTATTGCTTAAGCAGTAAAGAGTTTTTGTTACGGGGGATGAAAAAAACAGAAATGGATAGTTGTGACTGTTGCACAACATGGTGAATGTTGTTAATGTCACTGAATTGTACCCGTAAAAATGGTTGAAATGTTTTGTTATATATGTTTCATCACAATAAAAATAAAATAAAATAAAAAGTACTTTTCCTCTTCTTTTAATGGCGTTACCATTCTCCCAGTCATCTACAGTAAGCTCCAACTTTGCAGTTGGACTACCCTTCTCCACTACCCTCTGTATCTATTCAAGAGTTGATGACTCTTAGCCCCATCCTCTTCTCATACCCTAACCATTTCTGATATTCTATATTATCCTCTCTATTCCTTTTGCCATAAACCTGTTCTAAAATCAACTTATTCCTAGAGTCACTACAAAATCTCACTCAGCAAGGGATGCTGTATCTTAAACAGAGCTTCGATAAATGTTTCTCCTTATTTAAAAATCTTCAATGCCTCCCAATTAAACCACAAATTCTTCTCCTAGCTAATAAAATTTTCCATAATCTGACCTCCTTCCATTCTGTCTACGTAACTTTATCTCATTACTCCCCAGTGTGCACTTCCCTCCACTTGTCAGACCGGTCTCCTTACAAACACATTACACTAATTCCTAAGAGTGCCTATAACTTCACTGGCCTCTCTGTCTACAATGCTTTCCACCATCTCCTCTTCTCCTACTCAAATCTTACACAGTGTTCGAGAACTGGTCAAATTCTACATTCCTTTGTTTTAGACTTTACTGATTGTTCACTTATATGTGCACCAATATGAATTCTTAAGTACTTACACACTTAGCTTCAAAAGTCAGAATTTGATTACAGAATTAAAAAAAAAAACCTTTATTATATTATAGATCATCTGAAAGACTCCTAAGGGCAGGAAATGTAACATAATTTTCAACACAATCATATTCTGAACGCAGTAACTACTGATTAACGTTGCCTTTATACTTTACCTCTTTTGGTGGTATTTCTGTTTACTCACTTGGGAAACGGAAATATTTTCTTTTAGCTATATTTACAACTTACTAAGTTACTGCCTAAAGAAAAGTTTTATGAATTATTTTCTGGTACTTAATTGGCAGAAATAAGATTTACACCCTGGCTGGAGCAAGGGAGAATGAAGAAGACCAATGACACAAGGAAAAGATCTGTCCAAAGGAATAATGGACCACAATTACCACAACCTCCACCAGACTGAGCCCAGAACAACTAGATGGTGCCCAGTTACCACAGATTGCTCTGGCAGGGATCACAATAGAGGGTCATGGACAGAGCAGGAGAAAAACGTACAACAAAATTCAAATTTACAGGAAAAAAAGACCAGGCTTGCTGGTCTGACAGAGACTGGAGAAACCCCTAGAGTATGGCCCCCGGACACCCTTTTAACTCAGTACTAAAGTCACTCCTGAGGTTTACCCTTTAGCCAAGGATTAGACAGGTCTGTAGCACCAACAATAACATACATGAAGGACATGCTTCATAGTTCAATCATGTATATGAGACTAATGGTCACACCAGCCCAAAATCAAAGACAAGAAGGCAGGAAGGGACAGGAAAACTGCACGAATGGAAACAAGGAACCCGGAGTGGAGAAGGGGAGATTGTTGACACATTGCAGGGTTGGCAACCAATGTCATAAAACAATTTGTGTATTAACTATTCAACGAGAGATTAATTTGCTCTGTAAACTTTCACCAAAATCACAATTTAAAAAAAAAAAAGAAAAAAGATTTAAATAAAAATTTCTTTAAATGACTTCTTTAATGAAATTACACTCCATCTAAAATTTATGGAGATGGTTAACTCTAAACATCTTAGCATTTGTTATACTGCCTCAAACACAGTGGACACTTAAAAAGTGGCTGTAGAATGAATGAATATTGGTTACTTCAGAATGAGTAAGATACTTTTCTCACCTGCTTTCACTGAAAATGGCTTTTCCAGTAGAAATATTGTTTGTTTCCAGTGTGTTCTGGTACTCTGGGGACCCGTAGAAAACATGACCTGCAATGGTAAAGTCATAAGTATCTGATGAAGTACAAGATTTTTAATATCATGCTACATTAATCGACTATATCAAATGCAAGCTCCAACTGCGTACAACAGCAAAATGCTTCTGATCAAACACCTTGGGGCACAAAAATAAAATACAATGTACTTCGCATAATTAATTCTTATAAGATAACTCATGAAATTTACCCTGTTGTGGCAATTCTTCTCAAAGTATATATCAAAGTAACCAGCAACTGCCTGTTTAAAAAAAAGAGAAAGAAAATAATCATTAAGCTAATCACATGAAGTAATAAATTATACAGTCTTTTAAGACATGGCAAATGAGAAATCATTTCAAAAACTAGAAGCCTCTGAAATTTATGGCAGGTCATTTTTTTTTCTGGAAAAGATGCTGTTTAAGTAAAAATGAAGCAACATTATTTGTCTTTTCCCCACAGAAACAACAGAAAAATGAAACATTGCTAATCAAATAATCAATATTTCGTTTTACAGGAGAAATGAGCATGCTAGACTATTGAAAGAGACCACATGGAGAGGAGGCCCAGCCAGCCCATAGCCGATCCAGACCCCCCAACTGACGCACCGACATGTGGATAAAGCCATCTTCGACCCTCCAGCTCTGGTTAGGCCTTCAGATGACTGTAGCTACATAAGAGGCCCCAGGAGAGACCAGCAGAACTGTTTGCATAAGTCCAGTCCAGATCACAGAACCATGAACAAATAAATATAAATGATTATGGCTTCGAGCCACTAAGGTTTGGAGTGGTTTGCTACACAGCAATAAATAACTGAAACACACTCTTTTATACAAAGCTAACTCACTTTATTTCTTCTGATCTCATGCATCTAACTTTAAAGCAAAGTGCTATGAGTATTTTTGTGATGAGGACAATGGAAATAATTTTTAAATATTACATATTTTTTCCGAAGATAAATGTCAGAAATAGTACTCAAATAAAACTTACGTTTAAGCAAATACCTATAGGAGAAACTCCAAAGTAACTCTAAGGGTTACTGTGCAAAAAAAAAGCCTTCAAAAGAAACTGATATATTCAGAAGGAATAGGTAATTCTTATACTTTTAAAATTTAAATGATACTATTCCTTTTTTTTTTTTTTAACTAACGGGACTAGCTTGACTTAAAGTACTTTTAAAACTGGCATTAAATAAAGCTAATAAAGTGTTAAAAATAGGACAATGATCACTGAAAAATCAGTATAAAGCTAATTTGTGTACTGTGAAGTTTTATTGATCTTGTAGGGTAAATATGGATTGGATCCAAATCAAATTCAATATTTAACCTTGAAGTTCATTAGAGTTTAGATACCAAGAAAGAAGTGAATTAATATTATAATTCTGTCAAGCAGAACTATAAAGCAATGCATCTACGTAACTCAGCTACAGATTATCATAGAAAATCATGTAGTTAATCAGAATATTTTTAAAACATAACTTTCTTCAGTTGATTTCCTAACAGGTAACATACTCTTCCACAGACTAGTTCAAATGAGTTCTTAAATTTCTTTCTTTATGCCTGTCTTGTTCACCACTATATCCTTAGTGCCCAGAGCAGTGTCTGGCACACAGTAGACAATAAGTATTTGCCGAGTGAATGTGTTTACTATACGTAATTCTAACACAGTACTTACACCACACTATATTATAGATAGTTTGCCCTATCAGATGCCAATCTATTTAAGAGCAGGGCCTATGTATATCATATTTCTATTTCCCTTATCCAGCACAATATCTGTTATATAGTAAGGTTCTCAATAAATTTTAGTTAAATTAAATATTTTAGTCTAGCTAACAGCTAGCTTTATCATATGTTGTTCCTAGGTGCCGTCCAGTCAGTTTTGACTCATAGCAGCCTCATGTGACAGAGTAAAACTGCCCCATAGGGTTTTTCTAGGCTGTAATCTTTGGGACCAGACAACCAGGTCTTTCTCCCACAGAGCCACTTGGTAGGTTTGAACTGCCAACCTTTCAGTCAGCAGTAGCACTTAACCATTGCATCATCAGGGCTCCTTAGCTTTATTATGTAGACAGTATAACTTGTTAAACTACTCACTAACAACTTGGATAAAACTAATAATTTTCAACTCTGAAAAAATGAAGTATGGGAGCAAATATGGAAGGGAGAAAGCCAAAGAAAAGGATTCTTTAATTCTATTTATGAAACTGCACAAGTCTCAGCCTAATCCCTGAACTACACATATTCAAGCTAAGACTGAAATCAATACAACAAAGGCTTAGAGAACTGAAATGAAATCTGAATTACTGGCACAAGTCTCAGGATTAACCTCTGAATAAAACGTGTGGGAAAGACTGAAACCAACAAGAAAAGGCTTAGAGAACTAAGACGAGATTTGAAAAACATGTACAAATCTCAGACTAACCCCTAAACTATGTACGTGCAGGAGAGATCCTAAACAGCACGGTGACAGTTTGGAGAATGGAAATGAAATTTGAACCACTGTCTGCCCAAATGCTGTGAGACAGAACTTACGGTGTGACCCTAATGAGTTGAGCGTCTGCTAAAATCAAACATCAACATTCTCCAGAAGATATAACAAAATCCTGATATAAAAAAAAAGTAACATGCACAATGTCCAGGATACAATCCAAAATTACTCAATATATAAAGAACAGGAAAACATGACGAACTCTCAAGAGAAAAGACAATTAATGGATGTCAACTCTGAGATGACCCAGACGATGGTACTATCGGACAAATACTTTAAAGCAGCAATTATAACTATGCTTCATGAAGTAAAAGAAAACACACTGAAATGAATCAAAAGACAGAAATTTTCAGCAGAGAAATAGAAACAAAAAAAAAACAAATGGAAATTTAATAGCTAAAACAAAAACCTCTCTGGACTGAACAGCAGAATGGAGATGATAGAGAGGAAAAAAAACCTGTGAATTTGCAGACAGATCAATGGAAATTATCTGATCTGAAGAACCAAGACAAAAAGACTGAAATAAAATGCACAGTCCCTGGGTCTGGGGCCTGTGGATCTAACATATGTACAACTGGAGACCTAAATGGAAAAGAAAAAGACTGGAGCAGAAAAAAACTTTCCAGAATTCTATATGCAGCAAAAATATCCTTCAGAAATAAAAACAATTAAAGACATTTTCAAGTAAAGGAAAATTAAATCATTGCCAATAAACTTGCTCTAGAAGGCATTTTAAAGGAAGTTCTTTATGATGATGGGAAATGATACCAGAAGGAAACCTGGAACATCAGGAATAAAGCAAATGGTATACAGATGGGTAAATATAAAAGAATGCCGTTTCCCCTTCATATTCTTTAAAACATTTATGATTATTTAAAGCAAAAACTATAAAACTATCTGGTAGAGTTTTCAATATAAGCAGATGTAATCATAAAGACCAGTGGTAGGGGAAGAAGGGTAAAATCTCACTAATATTTATAGGTGTTTATAGTGCTTGGAAGTGAAGAAGGCACTTCTTTACTTTTAATTATAACACACGGGACAGAAACTTATGATAAAGAAAGCTACTACAAATTAACAAGAAAATGATTAATACTCCAAAAGAAAAATGAACACAAGACAATCAAATGATTAATAAACATGTGAAAAAATGTTGGGCCTATTTAGAAAAAAAAGTAAATGAAAACAACCAGATAAAATTTTCCTTTATTATACTGGGGAAAAATAGTCTTAAAAAATGATAATATCCAGAGTTAGTGGGGAAAGTGGCACTCATACTGAGAAAATAAAGTGAAACACCCTTTCTAAAGGGAAACAACAATACATATGAAAAGACTTCAGATGTTTGTATTGAAAAGTCAGACAGGAAATAGTACACATGGGATGACTCCATTTATATAAATTCAAAAGTAGCAGAACTAATTTGTGATGTTTATAACCATAACTTACAGTGTTCTAAGTCAGGATAATAGTTCCCTTGTGATAGTGGTAGACACTAGAAAGGGTTCCAAGGTGGGCTTCTGCAGCGCTGGTAATGTTCTGTTTAAGCCGAGTGCTGAGTACATAGGGAGTGTGTTTGCTTTTTATCAAACTACTCTTAGGATTTGTGCACTTTTCTGTTTTGCTGAGTGTATATTATACACTCAGTGAAAATTTTTATAGGATGTACAAACTCACTGACCTAATAATTTTAAACCTGCAAAATATTATTCTATGGAAGTCACTAAGTGTGCTTGCAAAGATTTAGCAGCAAGATATTAATTTTAGTACACATTTTCAACACTACGTGACTGCTATTAATTTATTATATTAATAAATTATAATACTGCCATATAATGGAGGAGTCCTGGTAGTGCAATGGCTAAGCGCTTGGCCGCTTATCGAAAGGTAGGTGGTTTGAACCCCCTTAGTCTCTCTGCAGGTGAAAGACCTGGCGATCTGCTTCTGTAAAATTACAGCCAAGAAAACCCTACGTGGCGGTTCTACTCTGTCACATGGGGTAGCTACAAGCCAAAATCAACTCAACGGCACCCAACACCACCAACACCACCACCGCCGCCACCACTACCACCATATAATGGAATTCCATTTGGCAAGCAAAGTAAACCTGGAGAATGTTAAGATGTTAACAGGTGAAATAATGTGCAGAGGGAGGGGACATATGGGAACTCTATACTTGACTGCAAAAATTTTTTGGTAAACCTAAAACTGCTCTAAAAAATACAGTCTAGTAATAAAAAGTAATCTTATAGATAAATATTTACCTATTTGACAAAATACTAGTAAATGAATATGTACTAGTAAATGAAACGCATCTTACCAAATAGTACATACATTATAAACTCATGTTACACAAATGTAAATAAATATATATATTTGGAAAGATATTCACCAAGCTATTGGTAATGAGTGATAGATTTGGAGCATTCATAGTCTATGTTTCTCTATAATTTCTATTTCCCACAGAAAATGAGTAGCTTCCATAATAATTTATCATTTTTAATAATATTTGAGTTAAATGATCTACAATATTGCATAGCAAGGCATTCAGTTCATCTATTACCTTTGTCCCAGCTCCCTTGGTGACTCCCCCAAAATCACTCATCTGTATACCCCAATGGGTAGAGCAGTGCCTAACATTTAATAGGAAATGAAAGAAGTTGAAGAATGAGAAGTTTTCTAATAATTCTATAAAAACAAAGTGTAAGGTAGAGGAGAAAAGATGGTACTATATAAATGAAATAGTAACAGCAATAAGAAATAGCCAAACTA